AAACAATAAATTTTTAAAACGTGGTGTAAATATAATTTTATAGGTGTTTCTTTTTATATATATTTTTGCTTCATTTTTCTATTTTAAAAATATCTATTTTTTATTTCCTATAAATTAGAAAAGGTGTTGATTGAGAAAATAAAAAAAAAAGTTTAAATTGACAAAGTTAAAACATCATTTTTTTTTGTTTTTCCCAAAATTTTTCAGTAAAACATCAATTAATATGATAGAGAAGGAGTATCTGATATATTTGTAAACCATTAGGCTTTGTGATGAAATTACAACCACACATTTTCAAAATGTACAAATACCGACATAAGATTTTTATTTTCCATTTGAAGTTTTGATTCATTGCAGAACTGTTGGATTATAACAAAGAGTGATACTTAGGTAAACCCCAAACAACAACACTTGAAAATAACAAATTAACAATTACAAGGTCGAGTTATCACCGTAAAAGAAGTGAACATATAGAGCCAAATATTAAAATTTTAAACCTTAAAAAATGATTTGACCCCTAACAAACCCTAAACCCTCAAAACTAAATCCTAATACAACATAGTTAACTCAAACATAAATTATATAATGAGTAAATAATTTTGAAAAAGTGATATTTTTACAAATATTTTCAAAAAAATGGCATTTTTGAAAAGTGACACATAAAAAAATCAATATAAACTTTTGAATAGAATTTTAAAGTATAAAATAAAGCTCTCATTATTACCATGATATAAAATTAAATTTTTTTTTAAAAACTATTCTTTTTCACTAAAACTCCTAGTATTAAAAAAACTACATAAGAGGGTCAAACAGAGCCAAAACGCTATCCCACCGGACTCCTAGACCACAATCTGAAAAAAACCAAGCGGACGCAAAAGATTTGACCACTTGAAGAGACTGAAGGAAGAGGGTCACCAGATTTAAAGCTGGATGAGGTACAGCACCAAAACCATTCTCTTCCACAACAAAGAGTCAAAGCAAAACTCGACTACCCATGTAGAGAAATACCGTGGAGGAATACAACATTTAGTCTAAAGATCCTACTCCTTTACAAGCAAACTTGTAAGAAGGAACAAACGAGGAAGCTTATTAGACGCGACAAGAGGCGAGGGATACATATGTTATGATTTATTTTAAAGTGATACATATAGGCGAATATTCCCTAAAAGAGTGTTTGTCAGATGATGATCCATATGTTAACAGCGTTATTTTTATTTATTTTAGATAAATAATATTGTCGACATAAAATTCTAAAGTATACTA